ATATAGCTTTTCATTTTATTTCTTTTTGTGTCAAGATAGCTTATCTGATTTTAGTTTTACAATGTGTTAGTTGGAAAGAACAAAGTGCTAAAAAACTAAAAGATATTAAACCATTCTCGGTAAGAATGAACATTAGATACGAAATGATATTATGTAATATTGCTTTTTTGATGCTATTTCTAGAGTCAATGGTGAAATAAATTGACTCATCTAAGAGAATAATGAGACTTTTTGTATTTTTGTTTGAGCATTAGAAACTTAAAACTAGTTGTTGAAATATGTTATCACAGTTTTCTCCAATTTTACCTACGATATTGGAATGTAAGATAAAAACAAGCTAATGATTATCCATTTTACGTAATCCATTCTCACCCTTGAATAAGATTGATTTTCTCTCTCTCCATGTTGCTTTATACTTAAATATTATTGTTTTATGAACATTTTAACTATAGCTATGTTGAAATTAATTTTTATTACATCTGATTCAGTTTGTATTTTTGCATTCATTTACTTTAGTATTATGTTTCCAAAGGAAAAATATTCTATACATCTGAACATTACAACGGATGACTTTTTGTAATGTTGCAGCATGTCTTTACTTGTCACTACAACAAATGAGTTCTTATATCATCTCATTTCCTCGTTCTTGACGTTTTCTAGTAGAAGCATTTTGAAAAATTCTACTCACTTCAGTCAAAATTGTTTCTCCTTCTCTTCATACTCTCCACACTATGTTTCTCCCTGAAATTTTTCTTCTTCTTTCTTACCCACTTGGATTCACTTAGGGTTTCTTCTAAAGCTAGATATGGACTAAAACATGGGTAGTACATGGAAGAAATTGAAGATTGCTCTCGGCTTCAACACGTGCCTATGGCTCTCGGCTTCCTCGACCAGTTTTGGCTTCGATTGCCACTCAGCCACACCCACTTTGTCGTCTTTTGGTCTCCAACTCTCCAAGTCATCAACAAGATCCTCAAAGGTTTGTTCGGTCCCTTTTGCTTCTTTATTGTTTTCTGATGGTTACTATATGGTGTGTTTTGTTGTACTTATGCAATTTTTTTTCCTTTAATTTTCTAATTTGGGTACATGGATTCCTTTGTGAGAAGCTTTCTTGTTTTCCCTTTATTTTAGGTTGGTAGCTTTTTTCAAAAGGATTTTTGTGAACATACTCATTTGAGAACTATAGTTTGCCACTTTTGATTTTTGAAGATATATATTTGATACGTTAAATTCAATTATATTATGCTCTTGAAGTTGTTGGATATGGTTGGATATGGATAGTAGGAAGGGAAGTATGAGATGGAAATGTACTCTTCTCATTATACTTTGCTAGTGAAAAGAAATCTAATTATATATTTTTTAAATTTTCCTTCTAAATACTCTTCTCTATTCATAAACAATTGCCTCATAAGAATTTTTTTAAAAAGAATATTAACAAGAAAAAGTAAAACAATACGTTTAAGTTCTGTACCATTTTAATTTTATTTGTTTTACTTTATGGTTTCAATTTCATAAGTTGTAAGGTAACTTTCAATTACATGGATCTGTGTGGGGAGGGTACAATGGAGTAGTCCCTTCAAGGACCAAAGCCTTTAGCTTATTAATAAAGTAACTCTGCTACTCGATGCCTTTCCTTGTCACACCCATGAGATTTTTTCTCCCTTTCGATCCCCAATCGTGATTTTTCATTTTGCTCTCCACTGGTTATTTTTTAAAAGTCAGTGGGACCCACAAACCCATTGGGAAAAGGTAGTCATCTGGTTGCTTTCTTTGATTCATTAGATTGCATTAGAGTTTTGAAAACGTATAATTGGTTAATTTGTTAAGTAAAATGATTTTTCTCATTTCAAATGATTTTGTTCTTGACGAACCCTGCATCGAAACGCAAAAGTTTGTTGGTGCTTTTAATATGTATTATTATAAGTGTATCTGAAGTATATATTACTTTTGCTATTCAATCATAGTCTTTTGTCTGAGCTATTTTTCATCATGCTCCTAATGAGCTTTGGTATGAGCAGATTGATGCATTAGTGCATCGATATATCTGTTGTATGTGGTGATAAATGGAAGTGGATACCGATAGTGAAGGCCATTATTCGTGCCATTGTTTGTGTCAGTTGCATTTTTTAATAATCAAATATAGCCTCTCATGAAGTTACTGAGTTTAGGCACCGCTTTTTTAAAACAAATGGATTTTTATTGTGGTTTTTGTCGTTTTCTACCTTATAAACTATGCAATATTATTGAAATATTTTATGGACTTTCATTATTATGCTATGTCGTATAGATGATTGCATTTGTATAACAACTTACGTTATTTTTAATATGATGTTTGATTTTAATTTACAACTTGCACAATTTTGGATAGGATGTTTGATTAATTTTCAGGAGAGGTCGTTTAAAACTTTTTATACTATAATGTGCTTGGCCATCAAAGAATGTTGTTTAAAACTCTTTCATTTTCCACTATTAGACAATGTTGGTTATTCTTAGCAATGAAATTCTATATCAAATAAGAGACTGCTCTAGGGGTCTTGGTTTTGATTCGATCATATTGATATCAAGCTTTTCTTTTGTTGCTGTTGTTTTTTTTTTTTTTTGTCATTTATCTAGTTGTATTTGATTTCATGTTGGTTATATTTGTCCCTCTTTTATCGTCATTTTAGGCAACCTTTTACTATCTACTGAAAAGTTATGGCTTCTCAACACCTTAGTTTTCGAAGGAGACATGCTTCACAAAATTCTCATTCCAAGAATGCACAGATTTATTGGCAAAGCCTACAATCAAGGCATTGTTGTTGAAAGAACCTTAGACGGTCCATGCTTGAACTTAGTTAACAATCTTTTTTCTTCTTCTTTTACTTTGGGTGAATTTATGTAACTTTATTTTTATTGTGAACTATTGAGTCATTTATTTTGGGATGTAATGAATTATAAAAAAAATTCAGTTCTAAAAGGGATATGATGATATATTTAACCTGCCATATGGTGTTTTTTATGTTTATTCAACTACAAACAAGTTGTTATGTTGTTTACTAAAACTATTCAAACTTTAACGCTGTAAAAATAATTAACCATAATAATTATTGCAATTGAAATAAAGTATAGATATTTATAATAATTTAATATAAAAGCTATTTATACAATCAAGGTTCAAAATGTCGATGTAGATGAAAATGTCTTGATGTTGATGGAAATGTCGAGGTCGCGATTTTACGGACATGTAGATGGACATGTCAATGTTGATCGATATTTGGGGAAAAGTCACGAAAATTGTGAAAAATAATAAAAATTATTTTAATTAGTAAATAAAACTTTAATTGTAGCTTAATTAAGCTATAATTGATCACTTCTAACCATCATATGTAACAATATGAGTAACTTACCTATGAAAATGTCGATGTCGATAGAAATTTCGGATAAGATAATAAAGATTCATGAAAATAATTTGAATTAGTAAATTGAAATCCAATGTTGTTTAATTGTGTTTTATTGATAATTAATAATTTATAACCAAATCTAGTGTTTAAGGGGGAGGGGAGCGCCCCTATAAAACCCCCTCTCCCTGTTTCTTTTCTCATACAAACGGGTTGGGCCTCCTTACGTGGGCTGGGCTAGTTTAGTTTTTCTTTTTTTTTTTAGAATTTACAATAGGTGTCCCTATTTATCATCCAGTTTTGAAAAATGGCTAAATAATATTTGATAATGAAAAATGTCCATTCGTATTTTTCTAACTATTTTGCAGGTTCGATTTTGACATTTCTACCCTTTTTATTTGATTATTATTTTCAATGTCAAATATCCTAACTTCCATCTTCTTTCCTCACTACTAGAAAATTGGGTTTTCGTGACGTTCATGAACAGTAAAATACTGTTCAAAATAAAAATATGCGTCACGAAAGGCAAAAAATGCATTTTTGAGGGAAAAAATGGAGATTTCCAGATATTTGACCTTTCGTGACGTTTTTTAACCGTCTCAAAATGGTGGTCAAAAAGTTGGTTTTTCGTGACGTTTAAAAAATGTCACAAAAGGTTGAGGCGTGTTTTTGTCTGGAAATGACAGAGTGTTCCGAATTTTTTATTTTTTGTGAAGTTTTTTAACCGTCCCAAAATGGTCGTCAAAAAATTGGTTTTTCATGACGTTTAAAAAATGTCACGAAAGGTTGAGGCGCGTTTTTTGTAGGAAATGACGAAGTGTTCCGAATTTTTTACTTTTCGTGACGTTTTTCTAACTGTCACGAAATGGTCATCAAAAAATTGGTTTTCGTGGCGTTTAAAAAACATAGAGAAAAAATAGATAAAAGAAGTAATTAATTAACTTAAGGATGTTTGAAGCTAATTTGATAAAATATACTATTTTTTTTAGGGATCGTTAGAATTTAAGTTAACAAAACATAAAAAAGCTAAAATTTAGGTGGTAGAAATTCCCAAGTAAATTTTGAATCCCATTAAAAATAAATACTATTTTTGTATTTCTATTTCATTTTAAAAGAAAAAATATTTACGAATGGGTAAATTTCAATTATTTTATAGTATTTTTCACCCTAAATGTAACGCCCCACGTTGTCGGATTAGTTTGCTTTTAAGATTTAATTTGTGCTTTTCAGATTTTCCCCTAAGCTGATAATTTAAATCCTTTGATTTTCTAAATTCAGCGTTCTATTTTTGGGTAAGTTAGAATTTAAATTAGAATTTAAATTTAATTTTGTTAAACCAATATAAATTAAGTTAGTGAATTTTACAAAGAGGCTTTTAATCAAGTCTTATGTTTTGGAAATTTAATTTTTCATTTTAGATTTTATTCTTCTGTTTTTAAAATTAAGTTATTCTCTTATATTCTTTCTAAAAAACTTTTTATTTTCATTGAATTTTTAATTTTATGAAGAGATTAGGAGAGGTCTATTCCTCTTAATTTTTTTTAGAACATTAGCCTATTGGTGTTTATCCATGGATTGGTTTAAAAAAGGAAAACAAAATTAAATTGAATCCTAAAACCCATTTCTTCTTCCCCTTCTGTAGCAGCCACCAACCCTCCCCCTCCCCCCCTCTTCTTTTTCCTCTCCAATAGTCCTCGCCAGCGACACCAACAGTGACCCAATCCAGCAGTGACTGCAACGCGTGTTTTGGACGGGTTCTCGACGTCCTCCGGCCTTCGACTCCCAGATCCGGTGCTCCTCCGACTCTCTCTCAGATCCGACGCTCTTGCACAAACCCAGCGGCTGGTGACCCGATTGGTTGGTCTTCAGCGGCGAAGCAGCTCTCCAACAACCCAGATCCGGCGAAGCACGACTTCTTCGGCCAGACCCGATTGGTTGGTATTTTCGTTTGGAGCCCTAAATTTCTCTCCTCTCCCTTTTTCCCGATCTTTTCCCAACAGTCGCACCCCGCACCCCTTCCTCCTAGCTTCCTTCTCCAATGAACGACCTCCTTGTTCAGTTCGAGCCACAGTCCTCGAGGGCGCAACTCTAGCAGCCATGGCGAATCACGTCCGACGATCCACCACCACCAACAACTCTCCAATGGGTTTCGGTTCTACCGGTGGTATTCCTTCGACGATGCCTCCGTTACGAACAGTACCCATGTCAAACAGTACCCAGTACTGAAATGCTTGTTCTAGTTGAAACGTTGTACTTACGCTAAAGATTTTGGCTCTTTTGAAGTTATAGCTGTCCAAATTTCGATAGGGTTTAGGATTAAATTATGGTAGATTACGAAGTTTTATTGTGTATTTGGGTCTTTTGTGAATTAGACCATCATCATGGATGGAATTGTGAAATCTTGGTATTAGTTAATCCTGAATCTTTGAAAAGTGGAGTTCTCCATGAAAATAATAGAGTTGTTGAGTAAGTGTCGCCTGTAAGAGGTGGGAGGAGGAATACAAGTCCATTGGGTAGGGTAGGATCGAGGAACACTAACCCTTCAATGCAGAAGGTTATAAGGACAAAACCACGCAGTTTAGATGAGGAAACACTTGCAACATTTAGTGAAGCAGCATCCGCATGTTCAAATGGAGGAGAGTAAATGGGTGATGTTGCCTGAAGATTTGTTGAATGATATCTTAGCTACATTTTCCCCATTTTTAATCTTTATCATTACCTCTACAAGCCTCAATGTGGTACTATATAGTTAATTGAATTTAATTTGGTACTCTACAAGCCTTAAAGTTACTTGAATTTAATATTCTGTTTTAGATTATTGGATTTGGTTGTCTACTTTGTATTCAAATTTTTGTTAAGTTCCTTGTGGTTATACTATACTGTTTTGTTGGTATTATGATCATTTGTGGAAATTGGAATATGAAGAATTTAGCATCTTCATCCGGTTTCGTGATTTTATTGGAGAAATTTTGCCAATTAGCATCTTCATCTGGTTTAGTGATCTATGGTCCTTTCTTGGAAAGAGTTTTGGTAAGTTTAAATTTCACTTTATACTTTAGTTCAAGGAGCGAATGTTTGAATGTACACCAGTGCATTTATAGGTTGAAGAATGTAGTTTATAGTATTTTGGATATAATTCTAAACTATCATTGTCTCAGATTCATGACTTTGGGAACTCGCCATTTTTTCTATGTCATGTTTTAGGTAGCACAATATTTCCATGGATTGTAACACTACAAGCCTCAGAGTCTTTCATATGTGATGCTCCAAAGCAAGTACAATTTATAAGTTTCCTTAGTTGTATAGTTTTCATTACTTTGGCTAATTAGTTTTTAATATGTGATACTCCAAAGTAAGTTGATATTTTTGTTTATTTTGTTCATGTTATCTTCTTAAGGATCAAATAGTTGTTACTTAATGAAAGATATTAGTTTATGAAATTTGTATGTAAAATGTTGTGAATATTGCTAATCAAACTATGATAGAGAAGAATTGATGTGTGTTGTGGTTGATGAATTATATTAGAGGTGTATTAAGATTTGTGATGGTTAAAATTATGTTGGAGGTGTTATACTCATATTATTTATACTTTTTTACATGTAGTTCAATTTGAAAAAGTCGTATACTTAAGCCGAATTCGATGAGGTACTATGAACCGCATTTGTTACGAACTACATTTAGTTGGGTCGTAGAGATAGTAAATATAGTTTTATTACTTAGCTTTTAATGTGTAAAACCTTGAACATCTATTTCAATATGCACTAGTATGGCCTTTTGTTGGTAGTTTTTCTTATTCTAATTATCATCTTGCATCAGTCTTTGAAGTTAAAACGTTTTAACTTAATGACTCATAGTTTTATATAAACCTTATTCCAATTATGTTCTTTCTATCAGCTGCTTGGACATTAGGTTATATTTAGAAATATTGTTCGGAATGATATTTCTATTGGATATAGGGATCTATATCAAGATCCATGATAAGTTGGAGATAATATTGATCTTCATGAAGGATTACTCTCAATTGTGCAGGTGTAGGTGCATTCTTCTTCTCCCAACTTGTGCATCACTCTCAATTGAAGGTGATGTACATGTACATCTCAAACTCTTGTATTTCACCTCAATAATTCATATTTGTGTTCTTTTTTATTACTAAAGGATGTAGAAGAAATGTACGTAGGTTGGTTTTTGTTTAATCAATTTTGTTGGAATCTGTAATTGCAAAGATTACTATTGTGATAAGCTCCTAGTATGTTTATTTAAGAATGTTTTTGTGTTGGAATCTGTATATACTTTCGTTACGGGATGATTGTACGTTTACAAACCTTATTCATTTATCTAACTTGGGTATTATTTTTTCATTAGCTCTGTCACGATCCCAAAGACATCGACAATTAAGAATGCAACTAATTAATAGATGAGCTTCGTTGTCGGGGTTGGTGTGTAGGGAACATGTTTAATTATGTAATTTTGTAACTTGTGTTTGAGAATACTAGTATATTCTAAATTATTATATTAGCTTCCTTGTTCATGTTTAATATAGTTCAACTTTGTTATTTAATTAATATATTTGCGTGTTTGATCGACAATTTGACTATATGATATTTCTATTACGCGACATTTGCAATCAAAATTAAATACAGTTTCTGTTACTCTTTTTTTATCGTCACAAAATGAAATCATTAGTGATGTTTTTAAACCGTCACAAAAATATTTTTTAGGACGATTATCGACCATCACAAAATATTCTTTTCGTGACGTTTAAAAAACGTCACGAAAGGATGTCACGTGACCTTTCCTCCCTATTCAAGGTCTTTCTGTGACCTTGTATCACCGTCACGAAATCATTTTTTATGATGTTTTATGAATGTCGTGGAAGTCCATGTCTTTCATGACGGTAATTAACCGTCACGTGTGCTAATTTTTGTTACGTTTTTTAAACGTCTTGTATACCTTTCGTGATGGGCGTATATGTGACGGCGTTAAAAACGTCGCGAAAGATTTTTGTGATGTTAAAAAAACGTCACGATAAACTGAATTTCTACTAGTGCCTAGATTCTATCCCTCGTTGATTCTAGTTTTTTTTCTAACCACTATTCTTTAATATATACGCGGGGACAAAACTCACCATAAGACATCACACTAAAGAAGATCATGGAGGGAGACTATCAGAGTTGGGGAGAGGGGAGAAAAGGAGACAGTAGAAATCCGACAAGGAAGAAAGAAGATCTTATTAGGCGAGGGAACAACGGTGGGGCAATGCGGTATAATTGTTCACAAAAATACACCTTATTTCTTACGTTATATGTTCACCTTATTTGTTCACATTTTTTATTCACCGTTTACCGTATTTGTTCCTTCTTCGTTCATCTATTCACCGTATTTGTTCCTCTATTCATCGTATTTGTTATTTGTTCCTCTATTCGTTCGTATTTGATATTTGTTCCTCTGTTCGCCATATTTGTTATTTGTTCCTCTATTCGTCGTATTTGTTATTTGTTCATCTGTTCGCCGTATTTGTTATTTGTTCATATGTTCCATGTTCATYTATTTGTTTTGGGTCTTACTATTTCTGTTTGGGTCTTAGTACTTATGTTTCTAACTACATTGTTTTGGGTCTTAGTATTTGTGTTTCTAATTACATTTTGTTTATTGATTTTTATTATATATTTTTTAAGATTTTTAGTATCATTTTCGATAATGATTTTGTTGTTTAATGAATTATACTTTTTTATAGATTTGTTAGTATAATTATCTGAAAGTTTATTGGGAAAATATTTGAGTTAGATAAGATTTTGAAAATATTTGAATTATTCTACAAAGGTGGTAGACTATAAAAAAGGGAAAATAATATATTTATTTTAAAATCATTTTAGGGAGGGTAATTTCGTAACTAAAAAATTAATAGAGATTTTTCTATTTTTATGTTGGCCATTATTGAAAATTTAAAGTTGTTTGGCCATCTTTTGAAATTGTCTTATTTTAAATGGCTATATCTATTGTTATCTTTTTCTTTTTAACGATATTCTTTAAATATCGTCGAGATGTCGATATTATCGCGACATTTCGAACTCTTGTATGTACAGTAACCCTCTTCGAACCGTACTGGATAGCCACCCATCATACGGATCTCAAACCCAACCAGTGGTGGATCCTGGGAGACAAAGTGATATTTTAATATATCGTCGATGTCGAGCCCTTAGACACGTCCACATGTCCGTCGACGTGTCGACCGACATTTAGAACACTGTATACAATATAATAGCTTAAATAAACAGCTATTGTAAGTTTAAGATAACACAAAATTTTATCTATGATGACTATTTCATAGCACAAGAAAAAAACTATTACATGTTTATTGTAACCCAATTCATTAGTTCTATATATGATATGATAGCACAAAAAAATAGCTATTATAGGTTTAAGATAGCCCAAAAACAGAAATATCTAAACATATAATAGCGTTAAACAAAAACGCTATTAAATGTTAACATGGCAATGTAAATATGCAATAATTTCCTTATGAGCTCTTGAAAAACGCTATCAAAAGTCATGGACTTTTAATAGCATCAGCTGTCAGGGAACTCTCAAAAAACGCTATAAAAAGTCTTTTATAACGTTTTTAGTAAGCTATTGTATCCATTTTTTCTTGTAGTGATTCTACCTTTCTTTCCTTCTAAGCTACTGTTGAAAAACTCTTGGGCACTTCTATTCATCTGCTTCAACCTGGTTGGGGTGGAGAATTTCGCTCTCTAACTCCCTATCTTAAAACTCAAGGTATCACTCATCAACTTTCGTGTCCTTTAACTTCACAACAAAATGAAATAGTAGAACGTAAACATAGACATATCATTGATATGGGATTCACTCTCTTGTCTCAAGCTTCTCTTTCTCTAGAGTTTTGAGATGATGCTTTGTCAATGGCAGTTTACACCATTAATCGGCTTCCTACAAACGTCCTATATCGAATCAATCTAATGGAAAAGTTGTTCGGTACGGAACCTCTCTACTCTTCTCTTAAAAGTCATTGCTTGTCTTTGTTTTCTATGTCTTAGACCTTATAATTCTCACAAATTACAATTTTGTTTGTAACTCCCCGAGTCCCTCAGGTCAGTTAGTCTCGAATCGGGAGATTTTTTATTTAAATTTCAAAGTGAATGTTAATTTAATTTATCGATAATTATCGGGCTCTAACAATCCAATTAAATGAATATTAACCAAGCTTGGTATGTTGGGTCTTGGGTTGAGGGAATGGACTCCTCCTTCTTTGGGCTTGGATGATTGGGCTTAATGGGAAAATTGTTTTAAATCAAAACAAAAGGGGAAGCCCTAACACTTTTCTTTTTATCTTTTCCCTCCCTTTGTTTC